CCACACCAATCACTGTGAAAGACTGCCCCTATTTCGCAGAGAGGATTTGGGAGAAAAGCAAGAATCAGTCTCTTGCAGTCTTTCTTATATTCCAGTGAATCAGAAGAAGAAACGAAACATGAATCGAAGAAAAACCGTAGTGGTTCCTTTTGTACCTACTTCAGACAAACCGCGACTAATTAGCTGGCCCCCGAACTCTTCAGTGAAACAAAGTTGACGACATAATGACATGACATGGAATGCCATGCAACCGTTAAGGCAATGCGTACCCTTCTTTTAAATCTCTTCTTTGAGTAGTATGGTATTTCCGAAGAAAGGTAGCCGTCGGGAAGGTCTGTTGCTATTGCATTTTGGCTGGCTCTACCATCACTTTGGATTCCAAGTCTCTGACAGACTACACTTTCCGTGCTATGCCTTCTCTTCTTGACCTAATCAGAATTCCTGACGTAGAAAAAAACATGTGGTATCAAACAATTAGTCAATCTACGAGGCTTTAGCGGTTCCAAAAGTTGTTCCAAGTAAAAGTTCATAAAAGCAGAATGAGTTTATTATTATTATTATAATTATTAGCAAAATGTACATGTTGTGAGTGAAAAAGGTTATCCAAATGGACGCGTCATGTAGCCCATTTTGGCGCCAGCAGGCTCCAGACCACCGTAGAAAGATGCTCCTAGTGTGTAGATAGGCTCATCTCCTTCCTTCGAGTCGGGTAGCACATGGAGATAGGAGCCCATGCCCTGAAAATGGTTTCTGAGAGCTTGGCAATTCATGACGCCGAGTGGGGGACCCCTTACCTGCTTGTTACCATTAGCAGACATATCAACCATCGAGTAATATGGTCGAAGAATTCCCAGCAGTTCCGAATCTCCGCCACCGACCAGTCCACCCACCTGCAAAGCTTTTTTTTGCCCCGAACGTTGCTCTGCACCAATCCCTGACTATGGTGGGATTCCACCAGTCGGTTAGCACAAAGTGCGCCAGCTTTGGTCTTTGTTTGCTTGGAAGATGCTCTGGTCTAAACGGCTGCAGCTCTACTAAAAAGCCTACCCGAATGCGCGGCACTTACACAAATAAAGCCGATATTAGCCCGGATATTGTCGATCGACAAAGTACACCGTCTTCACTACTGTAATGCACACCTACATAGGGCCATCCGTGGTCCGTGGACAAACTCCAAAGTACAGCTGGCTGCTCACCTCATCGAGATCTTTCATGCCTTGCTCACTGTAGCCGTAGTTGTTGTCCTTGGAGACGTCTGCCTCACCACTGGTATCTGGAAATAAATGGCGGAAGCTGGTTAGGCCAGTTTCAAACTGTTGCTTTTTGCCAGTTCGCAACATCTTTAGCACCAAGCTGAATGTTGCGATGAAGAGGAGCGATAGATAGGAGATTGAGATGTAGAACATCAAAGAGCGCTACCGCATCCTCCACATATTACTAAAACCAAGAGATAGTACAGTGTGCTGAACCAGGTCAGCGGCGGGGGGGGGGGGCATTTAGTACTTCTGCAACTCCCTATCTACGTGTTGAGCCATAAAATGGAAACCTGTGAAATCTTGTGAAGCCACGAAGTGACACCAGCCAAAGCTTCTAGAGACCACCTGTCAACTCTTGTGAAGAGTGCCTGTCAACTCCTGTAAATCCATGGTGAAGTTCAGCTCGTAAGCTAGTTCAGCAGCTTACAAGAGTTGACAGATTTTTCCGGGGTGAGACTTGTAAACCGGAGCTAGTGAGACAGAAAAAAGTCAAGTGCCCCTCCTCCTCCCCCCCGCCCTCTCCCGCCCCTGCGGCCGAACTGCGCCGCTGTGTAGAACGCCAAGGAGCGCGTGCGTGCATTTTTCCTTGTGTTGCTAATAACAGGACAATATAGTTAGCATTATTCGCCATTTACCACAAGATGTTTAGTTAGTAGATTGATTTTTTCCTACAAAAAAGTGAAACCCTGATTGAATTTGTTCTCAATGAATTGAAATTAATAAAATTTCTCTTAAAGTTCGCGACAGCGAACATTGGAAGCCGATGGAGAATGTGAGCGGGGCTGCGACTCTAAGCACGGGCCAATGTTCCCTATAAGGTTTTCAAGTTACTAAAAGCTCCGTATTACTAACCTACCCAAGTAAGCAAGACCCAGGGCGACTGGCGCGGGGGAGAAGGCGAGCATGTTTGCCCTTAGCACTGCTTCCATTGTTGCTGACTTTTGGTGAAGCCAGGTGGCAGTATACCAAGTAGTTGTGTAGAAACATGTTGTCATCCTTTTGTACAAGAGTATCGTGCTAACTTCTTGTTCAAGCAATGAAACACGGATGCGCGGAGCAGCGGAAGTGCAAAACGGCTCCCCCCCCCCAACCGAAAGTGCGCTCAAGTTATAAATTACAGTGTCGAAAATGCAATAGCAGAGAAGCTGGGAAACAGACAGAAGGAGTTCAAGCAAGAAATCTACCCAGGTCGCAAAAAGTGTGAACTTCAGACTTTACCGTTCTTGGGCGGATGGAATGAAAGTGAAAACAAATCTGCCATAGAAATTAAAAGTCCTCCCACCTTCATGGAGTTTGCTGTACTGTCGAGGGACGTAACGCTCCATCCATTGAGAGTCGACCATCTGCATGACATCAGCACATACCCTATCAACTAAACAGAAGAATGAGAGTTTGGGAGAGTTGAGAGGGTACGGTGCACTTTTTCTCACCTATAATTGCCGCAAAAAGCAAAGGTAATAGAAATGACATGATCATAGAAGCCATAATTTGGTTCTCTGACCGAACTTGGATGAAAATCACTTGGAGACTGTGGTGAGGATAGGCGAAATGTGGAACGGGAGCCAAAAAGATCACCAAATCGGCGCCAGATTTGGCAGGTGACAAACGATCGAAACCCGCCCGTAAAGTGATCCGAATTCGTCGAGAGAAAGCGGAAAGAGTGATCCAAATGTGTCAAGATTTCGCTGAGAACAATGGTCATGTGGGTTACATCCAAAAAGACCAGTCTCACGATAGACCCAAGA